TCCAGAATATTTTCGCGATAATAATCGGCATTTTTTTCTGATGCCACGGTCGATTAATACGAGTGGAGAGCGCCAATCGGCTGTTATGGCGGCGCACACCATCATCATGACCGGCACTTGAGTTCTGGTGGCCAACCGAAGGTGCACATTTTCAGCTGACCTCTTTGACCAGTTAACACGATTATTTTGTTTGTTTACAAACTGCTGGACAACGAATGTTTTCTTATCGGAGAAAACCAAATTCAGTAGTTCATCGCATTCGGCCAAGCGAAGCAACTCTTTAGCTCTTTTGAGTCTATTTTCTTTCTGTTGCGATGTAAGTTCATGCACTTTTTGGAATTTCAATGGCTTTACCCCGAGCTCATTTTTCAATATTTGCGGAATGGAATATTAACGAGCGATGGTACGAGACACAAAATATTTATTCACATTTAAATGCTGGAATGATCTAATAATAGCCACTTGTCGGTTTCCAGCCAAATATAAAGATATCACACTATCACGCTTGAATTCCATCACGAATAACTTTTTTTTCTGGAAAGTTCTCACCAAAATTCTTTTGTGCACTTGTAAACAATATAATGTATGGTCTCTGGAATAATTTTAACAGCTGTCGGACGAGTGGCTTAGAAATGACAGCAGCCTGAAATTGGTTGTAGTTTTTTCATCTCACCCGTATTTTTGTATAAAAAATACTACTTAGTCCTCCCCTAAAAAAAAAAAAATATGCATAAAAATGTTTGCATAAGTCCTGTACACATTTCTTAATGAATTTCCATATCTATGTTTTTCATCTTTTCATAACTTCAAATTCATTTCAAAGGAATTTTCCAACAAGTAATGACATAATCTTCACCTTTGTCGTCTTTGTTCCAATTTTATAAGTTTTTTTTAATATCTGCAAATATTTATGTATGTCTTTCCTCAAACTAGGAACATATACAAATTTATAAACATTCTCTAGTATAAATTGAGACAAATTCATATATTCCTTTGAGCTGCTGCTGCTGCCATACGGTCGCCTCATTTGCCTAAGGGTCAATGAAAATAAAACCGTCTAAAACCCCTACTTCATTCATCCACAGGGGCTAATGAATAGTTTGCATGACATTTGACCATAGAACTGGATGGATGAATGATGAAGGGTTCAGTGGCCAACACTACCACTACTTCTTTTTTATCAGTGATTGAATGGGTCTCCTTTGGCCTAACAGTAGCCATTGAATATATGTTCTTGGGGCGGGCAATAGCTATGAAATAAATAAATGAATAAAAAAAACAAATCGCACACAAAAAGGCGAGGAAATCTAAACTGAAATTGCCACTAGACTTCTTTGGCTGGTGGAATTAGCTTGATTAAACATGCAATTCCACTTGCATGCACATTATTTTTTTTTTCCGCCAACAAACGTCGTCGTCATCAACATCAGTAGTAGTGGCACGGTTCTGTGATAAAATGATTAAATCTTGACCTACTAACCTGTTTCAGGTTCTTCCCATCCTTTATTAAGTCATTGCGCCATGCCATGGAATTTCACAAAGAAATTCTCAAGCTATTGGAAAATGTAAGAAACGAAAACGAAACACAATGGAGCATATGAATGGAATGAATGCTCTTTCAGGGTTTTGTTTTCTTCGTATCATTTGAAATTTGAATTCTGTGAGGAATTCTCGCCATACCCCCACTGTATTATTGAAGTTTTTCAAAAGTTCTTCTTTCAGATTGATTGCTTCTTTGAAATATGATGAGCCATGATGGTGATGAATGTCTGTGTGTATGGCATGTGTCTAAGAAATTGAAAGGCAGGAAAATATCTTCGTGGTAATCTGATAATTTGCATACCTCAAAAAAGATTTAAGGAGCAAATTTTCATGGATAAAAAAAAAATTCTTTTAATTATCGTCAAGGCATTACCCGAGGATAGTGGAAAACAAAAAGTTGGAAAATGAAGGAAGTTTGAAAAAAGTATATTTAAAATAAACAGCTCAATCATGAATAAAATTCTGTGAGGAATGCTCTCAAAATGTTATTTTCCTCCAGAAAAAATCTAACATGGAAAATTAAAAGGGAGTTTGAAAAAAAAAAAAATGGTTCATATTTTCAAACCTCAGTGTAAAATTATGAAGATTATGAAAGTAGGGTATATAGGTATATAGTGCTTTGGCAATATCACTGATAATAATACGAAGATAATTTTTTTAATATGATTAAATATTTTCCAACCTCGAAGAAGCCTAAATACATATTTTCTTGTAAATAGATTGAAAAAAATGACCAAAACCCTCGCAATAACTAAAATTTGGGGCTGTACCAAATCGAACATCTATATTAATATTTTTGCTAGTAGCTTTTCTACATAAAAAGAAGTCAAAATACTACATTTGGCGAAATTGAATGGAAAATCTGACTAAAACGTGGGCCGATATGGCCCATTTTTAAACCAATGATTCGCAAATTAATCCACAGCTCTCTATAAATTTTCAAAATTCTATATTTAATGTTGCGAAACATAAAATTAGGGTCCCTTTGTGTATGGTCATGGCTATATAAAGGCCTTACGAAATTTTGGCCTATGAATCCGAAACTCTTTTGGTTTTTGATCGTCAAACCGAGTACAGGGTGAGATAAAAAAACTGCAACTAAATTTAGCCTGCTGTCTTTTCTAAGCCACTCAGCTGTTAAAATTATTCCACTAACAGCTCATTATATTGATTTCAAGCGCACAAAAGCATTTTGGTGAGAATTTTTTAGAAAAAAAGTTATTCGTAATGGAATTCAAGCGCGATAGTGCGATCTCTTTATATTTGGCTGGAAAACGACAAGTGACTTTAGTTAGAACACTCCAGCTCGTTACCGTGATACCGACGTGAAGGAAGTTGATGGAAAAAAACAGTATCATCAGCAGAAATGGTTCGAAAAGTAAAGAAGTAACTTGATCGAAACCCGCGTCGCAGTGGCCGAAAAATGGCACGTGAGCTGAACATATTGCAATATTCCATTCGGCAAATATTGAAAAATGAGCTTGGGGCAAAGCCATTGAAATTCCAAAAAGTGCATGAACTTACACCGCAACAGAAAGCAAATAGACTCAATAGAGCTAAAGAGTTGCTTCGCTTGCTTCCGATGAAAAAACATTCGTTGTTCAGCAGTTTGTAAATAAACAAAATGATCGTGTTTACTTCCCAAAGAGGTCAGCTGAAAGTGTGTACCAATAGCTAGTATCAATCGACCGTGGCATCAGAATAAATGCCGAATATTATGGCGAAAATATTCTGGAGGGTGTATTAGAGCCTTGGGCACGCAAACATTATGGCCGCAGACCTTGGACATTCCAACAGGACTCAGCACGCGCCACCCAAGAATGGTTACAAAATGAGGTTCCTCGCTTCATTTCCAGTGCACAATGGCCACCAAAATCTCCGGATACCAATCCGTTTAACTATTGTTTCTGGAGTATTTTGGAAAGCAAGGTTGGCACTAAAAAATACCAAAATGTCGATCAAGCAAGCGCTTCGCCGGGAATGGGCCAAAATACCGCAGAGCAACATTCGGGCAGCGTGCTACGGCTTCATTGGCCATTTGAAGGCCATAATTCGTTCCAAAGGTGACCAATTCCAACAAATCTAAACTTATTCTAAAATTTGATGCTATTTCCAACATTTTTTGCTTTCATTCAATAAAATTTAAAAAAAAAAATCTAAAAATTATGGCGTTTGACTTTGTTGCAGTTTTTTTTTTATCTCACCCTGTATATTGAAATCCTAAAATTGTAAATTTGTTTATTTAAGTTATTTAGTTTCTATGAAGAACTTTTAAAATGTACTCCAATTTCCACAACCATTTGTTACACAAGGTACGAAAAAGACCCATTAGAGTTGCCATATTCGCAAATTATTCTCACCAATTATTCATGATTGAAGCCAATGATTATCTTAAGGGAAATTCTTTCCGTGGGAATAGAATTCCAAGCTGATATTCGTAGTTAGGCTGAAAGAAATGTATGGAGAAAAGTATCCACATTGAATACATTTTTCTATTTTTTCATTTATTCATTTTCTATATTTCTTATTTTCTATATTTACGCCTTAAACAAAAATAAACAAAGTAACTAATTACTAAAGTGAAATAATCATTATTTCAATGAAATATCTCCCACTCAATGGGTATGAGGACGTCGTATGATTTCCTGGAATTTTCATTGTAGAATCGCAATATATTTATAACAACACAACCCGCCAAAGGCAAAAGTCATGACACGTGTGTGTTTAGTTTTTTTTTTTTTTCAATTTCCAATTGAATCAGAACCTGGCTAAAAACAATCAATTAAAATCATTACTAAATGGAAACGTGATATTGGTATTATATTACACAATTGTCGGCAAACACTTTTTAAATAAAAACAATGATGTGATTATGGCAAGATTGTGTAGGCACAAAACAAATTCTGAGAAGAAAAAAACGTTAGCTTAGAAAATTAAAATAAAGCAGGCACATTTTCCTCTACGTGGTAATTTTTTACTATCAAGACCTTCTAAGGCACATGCAAGGTCCTTCACATCTTCCATACAAAAAATTACCTTATGTGGATAGATAAAAGTTATTATATAGATTTTATTTTATATTATACTTCGGCAGATCTACTTATTTAAAACCCCTACTCAAATATTATTTCTATATATATAGAAAATAGTTTAACTAGATCTTCTTTCTCGAGTCTTAACGAAAATCGATACCTACGAGGTAGTTAGAAAACCTACCGCTGAAATTCTATTCAGATCAGGGTTTCGGATAATTTTCAAATTCCTAGATCTTATAGTTTTTTAAAAAATCCAAATATCTCATAACACTACAATTTTTGGAAGAAATTTTCTAGATCAAATTTCGTGTTGTTCTAGATCAAATTTCGTGGATCTTCTTTAAAAGCTATATTCTAAAAAAAGTAAATTGAATTTTTTTTATTAACTTTTCTGCTACTTTTACTCTCTCTCTCTCATTACAGGGTGGCTATCCGGCACGACTGAAAAAAGTTCTCATTGTCACGGCGCCACTGTGGTTCAAAGCCCCATTCAAAATTTTGCGCCTATTTGTTCGTGAGAAATTGCGCGAGCGCGTTTTCACTGTATCAGTGCCGACGCTGAGCTTGCACGTGCCACGCAAAGCATTGCCGATTCACTTGGGCGGTACCCTAGAAATAGATCATAACACATGGTTGCTGCATTGCCGCAAATCGATGACGAATCGTGAAGACGAATTGCTCGCCAATATTGGTGGACTGTCGCCAACAGCAGCCGTGGTCGTAGGTGGCACAGCAGCAACAGCCAACCAGAATAACCTAAACAATCAGCACATCACAAATACCGCCGGACTGGTGGTGACAAACGGCGATTGTCAACGATTTCTGGCGGAACCCAACGAAAATATCACCACACCAACAGCAGCAGCAACAACAACAATAGTCAACAATCAAGGTACATCATCATCAGCAGCATCACCACTGACAAACGGTCATCATAACAGTACATCATCCTCATCATCATCATCATCGACGACCTCATCATCCTCAATTGCCAATAATTTAAATAATCTAAACGCTACTGCAGCGGCCGTGTTATCCAACAATAAATTGGTGGTGTTGGGTCTGGCGAACGGCAGCAACACTGCCACCGGCATTAACGGTGATCATTTAGCCACAGTACTTTCATCATCCTCTTCACCGGTGGTGGTTAACGGCACAGCTACGGGTATCACAGCCATAAGTGGTAGCGGTGGCGGCGGCGGAGGCGGTGGTCAAACACCAACGACAACAGCAACACCAACCGCCGCAAATAGCAACAGTGGAACAACGGGTCTCACAGATTTCTGGACAGAGAACCCACCAAGTAGTGCCTCGTCGGGTTTTAGTGATGACGACAGTCTGGCTGGCCAAGAGGGTGATCCAAAAACAATTGAACAAATTGTTCAAATGGTAAAGGCACGAGGGCGTCAGGGACTCGTAAAGGAATATGCCGATATTCGGAGTCGAGCACCAGATGGCACATTTTTACATGCCAGGTAAAGTATGGTAAAGGGGGAGGAGACATAATAAAAGAAAAATTGATTGCAAGCAAGAAATATTCAAAAAATTAATAAAAAAAATTATATAAATAATGTCGGACGTGCTCTTAAATGTTGTAATTTTTTTAAAATTGAATTTTTTAATAATATTTCAATATTTGATTTAGTTATTAATTTAAAATACTTTTATATTTGCCATTGTCATATACAAATACAAATGATTTCTTTCAGAAATTCTAAAAGGGGGGAAGGTATGTTGTCCCTACCCAACGTATTTTCTGATTGATATCATTGGTAAACTCATATCATTTTAATATCGAATAGAATGCAATTTATTTTAACACCGAAATTAATTTTTTAATATCGAATCTAATTATTATTTGAATATTTTTTTTATATTATATACTTTAAATTATATTTATATCGAACCTAATGTTATATTTTAAATCGACATTTCCCATTATAAAATCATCGTTTTGTTACAACGGGTTTTCTTTACTGCAATCAATTTGTTGACTCCTATTGTTTTGTTAATTACATTAAATTATAAAAACTAATTTATTTTTCTCTCCCCTCTATAGAATGCGCAATAACTTGACGAAAAATCGTTACACAGATGTCCTCTGCTACGATCACAGTCGAGTTGTTCTATCACGGGTCGATGGTGATGATGTGTCAGATTATATAAATGCCAATTTTGTAGATGGTTACAAACAGAAAAATGCATACATTTCAACTCAAGGTATGTAGAAAATTTGAGAAAACAGTTTCAAACAGCAATGAAAATTCGAATGCAAATCGAAATAGTCAGGTGTTTTATTGCAAAGAAAAAAATATCTAAAAATTAGATAATGTCACGTTCACGTTGTAATTTGCCTCTTGAAGAATTCAAATGGAATTTGTGCTTGCGGTCCGACCTTTAATGGGTGTGGGCCAGCGATTTGTTGTTGATGTAAGGAAAATAAGGTTTTTATTGTGATAATCGGTTTTAGATGTTATTTTAATGTTCTACTTTGAAAGCCCTTTTAGTACCGTATTAACAGACTAATTTTAAACAGCTTTCAAATAGTTTATCACTTTTATTTGCGTTCTCATAGACCATTCTGCGTTCCGTATTATCTCCACGTAATTTGGTCATCATGGCCCACGACCTCTAGCCCTGACCCTCTCCAACCTGTAGGTCAGAACTTATATGCGACGTGTTGACCCATACAGGGTGAGTTGAAAAAATTGCATCCAACTTTAGACTGCTGTCATTTCAAAGCCACTCGTCTGACAGCTGTTAAAAATATTCCATTGGCAGCTCATTATATTGCAAAAGCATTTTGGTGAGAATTTTCCATAAAAAAACTTATTCGTGATGGAATTACCTCAAGCAAGCGCTTCACCGAGAATGGGTCAAAATACCGCAGAGCAATATTCGGGCAGCGTGTGAGGGTTTCTTTGGCCGTTTGAAGGCCATAATTGTTGCCAAATGTGACCAATTCGAACAAATCTAAACTTATTCTAAAATTTGATGCTATTTCCGACATTTTTGCTTTTCAATAAAATTAAAAAAAAAAAAAAATGTAAAAATTATGGCGTTTGGCTTTGTTGCAGTTTTTTAATCTCACTCTGTATAATGTTGCCAAATTTAGGTCGGGTCTCGTTTAAGATGTATTGACAATTTCACCACTCATAATCCTTAGTAGGATTATATTCGTTTATCAGCCGGTAGTAATAAGGTTGGCTTAATCGAGTGCTTGAGTCCTCCTAGATCGTTTACCTTAACTGTGCAATTGCCATTTATTTTAATTATTGATTTTTGCCTCACAAGGGGAAAACATTAATTAAGGATTTTATTTGCTTTTTTCTCTCCCTCTTTCGAGACGAATTTAATAATCTGAAATTTGCAATGGAATTTGGATGGAAAGACAGAGAGGCACTATCACACACTCATCGCTGTGTGGTGCATTTCGCCGTTGGTTAACGGTTCATGGTTTCAAATCGTTACTCTTTTGAAAGGACTTTGGGAAATATCGACATATTATTTGCACCTTTCCTCGACTGACAAGGACTGACTTAGGATATACATTTGGCTATCTTGATATTATTATATTTTATTTCCTTTAAATTCGAAATACATGTGATCCACCGCATTTTCTACCTGGAATTGTAAGCGGAAACTTACTGAGATCCTTGTTTTTATATAAAAAACTATATTTACTTATTCGAGGTCCACCTGAGACATGCAAAAGGGTATCAAGGTGTTATATTGAAAAAAAAACATTTGATTTTAAATCTCATTGTTCAAGGACAACATATGGAAATTTTTTTAAAGACCTTTATAATACTCTGTTGAGTATTTCTAATCAATCATCCGAATTAGAAATTTCCAAAATTTACTATAATAGTTTCCCACTTTTGTGGTTGATTTGCCGGTCATACAATTTTTATTCTCTCAATTACATTTTGTGCCTATGGCTAAATTTCTTCGCTTTCACCCATTTCCAATTTCACACTAAGAACACGTGTACCCATAACCCCTTACTATTAAAGGTTACACAATTTTGTATTTATATCTATTCTGTTTGGATAAGCGCCTCTAATGGTTGATAAGTGTTAAGCTTGCTGTAAATAGAACATTGCTAGTTATTTGCTATTGGACTGACCCTAATATGTTGTTACAGCACAAATACATAGTAGCCACCTCAAATAATCCAGCAAATGGGAAAGAGAACAAAAAAACACCTACATGTTTTTCATCAACCCCAACAGCCAACACACAAGGACATTTATTTATTACTCACTATCACTCATGGCGTTTTTTATGTTTTTTTGCTATTGCCTTCAGTAGATATTATTTGCTGTCACATATTTGTGTGTTTTATTATCGATAAAACCAATAATGATGACACAGCAAGTAACACTTTGATTAAAAATGTTGGCGAGTGAAAGCGTTATTCATATGGCTATTAATTACACGAACATGAAAGAGCAGTTCTTTTAAATTTGTTCTAACTTAAGGGTTATTTCTATGAAAAGATCCGTTCAACGATTTCAATATCTTGACCACAAAGGGGCTTTAATGATCGTATTATTGTTAGTCCATGAAAGCTTTTCAAATATTTTTTTTTATAATGGGTATAAGGATTTTGCCGTATATTTTTTATATTAAATGAGACATTCCTAATTTCATCAACGTCTTTATTCCTATAAATAACAACATTCCTGTTATATATACATTTTTAAAAGAAACTAGTTGATGCCTCTCGCTTATAATGATCTTATTTTTGTTAGTCAGCGAAAACTTTTCTTAAGAAAGTCGAGTTCATTTATAACCTGAAAGCCTTCAAATTTAACGTGGCTTATCTAATTCCCCAACTTCTTGATTCCTATAAATAGCAACCTTTCTGCTACACTATGACTTTCCAAAGAATCTAGTTGCGTCCTCTCGGGGTTTTATTTCTCACACACACACATATTTTTTCCTATTTTCTTTCTTCTTGAACACCTTGTCCATGTACCTATTCAATTTTAATATCTGCGTTTTATTTTTATGTTAATGACCGTCCTTGTATCTATTATTCCACAATTGTCTACACATTTTCCTCATATAAAGAATGTAAAAATATTGATTTTTTTCTTTTCTCGTTCTTTCCCTTATGCCAACATCAAAGGACATTTTAAATGTTGTTATTGTGATTTTGTGTATTGCTTAATTAAATCAAGAAATACAAAAAGAGGTGGGAGAAAATTCTTCTAAAAAAACTTAAGGAAAAAAATATATGAAGATTGAAAACAAATTTTATTTCAGCCAATGGAATTAAATTTTTATTTTTAAATGTTTGCAGTTTTGCTGAAAACAATTTCAATTTCCCGGAAAAATTAAACCGAGCACATTATATCTTCTGGACGAATTCGTGTCGAAACCAACTATTTGAAATTTTTTGTTTCCTATGAAAAATTGGGTCCAAAACTATATATAATAAACAATAGATGCTATATAAAGGTTAATATTTGAAGAGCTATAGGAGAGTTTAACCGGCCCCGAACGTGAAATAAAATGTTAACGAACTCGCCTCTTAATAAGTCCATTGGTACGCGTTCTGTGTGGCATGTTGCACCGTCTTGTTGAAACCACATGTCATGCAAGTCAAACTCTTGCATTTCTGAGCAAAATAGTTGGATATCATCTCACCGCCTCCAAATAAACTTTACCAAAATGTGATTTTTATACTCTACACCACATAGTGGTAACGGGTATTATGTCTTTGTGCAGAAGGAAGCGAGATAGAACCATAGTTAATATCGAGCAGGGTTGGTCATATTGCACTAAATTTTTAGTGCACTAAGAATTAAATAATTAGTGGTAGTGCAATTTTTAATTCCACTACCAGTAAAGGGTTAGTGGTAGTGAAAAATAAATTGCACTACCACTAACCCTTTAGTGATATTTACAAAAAAATTGCACTACCAGCAAATTTTAGTGGTAGTGAAATTTTAATAGCACTACCACTAAATTTAGTGATTTTTCAAAAAAATTGCACTACCACTAAATTTTAGCGAAGCCAAAAAAAGCACTATGTGTATAAGTATTATACCAGCTATAATGAAGTTTATTGAAGTGAGTAGGGAACAACAATCCAGAATATATAGTACATATTCATAAAATTTGATTACTTTTCTAAATAGCACTAGTTTAGTGCTTTTTTTATGAAATACCACTAATTTAGTGCAAGTTTTTTTTAAATACCACTAAATTTAGTAGTAGTGCTATTGAAATTTCACTACCACTAAAATTTAGTGGTAGTGCAATTTTTTTTTAAATAGCACTAAAGGGTTAGTGTTAGTGCAATTTATTATTCACTACCACTAGCCCACTAACCCAAAACGCCGATACAAGTCTCTCATAGGTTAACTCTACCTTCATATTTTTTCGTTTTATTCTGTAATTTTGAAAAAATTGAGTTTGTAAACACAAGTCAAAATAATAAAACCTTCGCTGGGCAATTAAAGTTTAAACCATACCATTGTAATGTGTTTTGAAATTCCTTTTAAACGTTCATTTTTAATTATCTATTTAAAAGAAAATGTTTTATTTGCCAAAACATGGCAAACTTTGTTTGCCAGCCGTCCTCGTATTACAAATCACTTGTGTACAGAAAGCCCATTAAAATGAAATAACCTCCAAAAAATGAAGACTTACAAATTCACTTTTTAATGGCAAAGAAAAAACACCGCAATGCGATTAAGGACAAGAATTCCCATAGTAGTACTAGTAGTTTCTCTCCGGCTTAACCTAATGAGCTATTTACACAACCACTAGATTTCATTAAAGAAAATTCTTTTTCGAGAAAGTTTTCCCTACTTGTCGATTACTTTTGAAATTTCCAGCTGTTTGGCAGTAGCTATATTTTAATGCTATTGTCCTTGTATTTTTTTTTTGTTGTCTTTATTGGCTGGCCACGTTATTGCGTCTTATTCATTTATGAACTGCCAACCTTGACCCATGTCTTAACTTTCAGTGCGTTATAGTTGTTGTTGCTGATTGTCATTAAGTTTTCTGTGATAAATTGATTTTTATGACAGTTGTAGTCGTAACCACCGTGGTAGGAATAAATAAATGGTGGTATATATCTTTGTGGATCTCCTTCACCTCCCTTTAAATAAATAAGTTTATTCTTATTTTGTTTTCTTCTTTGCTTATTTGCAATGGTCATGCGGATATTTCAAGAACTCTTAGGGCGCCTTTATTCTTTTGTTCGTTTTTTTTTTAATTTTAGACATTGTGTGGTTTTCAGGGAAATCATCATTTTGAATTAGCTTTCTTAAGAAAATAAATTGGTTTTTAATAAAGCCACTGCACAATGAGTTCCATGAAACGATTTAATTATAAAAAAAACTCTTATGTCAATTTTGCATTTAATTTTCTTGTAACCATTTTTTAATTTAATCTATTATATTTTATTCTTCCAGGCCCGTTACCAAAGACATCCCAAGATTTCTGGCGCATGATCTGGGAACAACATTGTTTAGTTATAGTTATGACAACACGTGTTATGGAACGTGGACGCGTTAAATGCGGTCAATATTGGGAACCAGCCGAAAATAGTTCCTTAGAATTTGGAAATTTCCATGTGCGAACACTTAGTATAGAAACTAATGAAGATTATACAGTAGCCTCATTAGAATTGAGAAATACAAAGGTATTGTTGGCGATCTTCTTTTCATTTTTCGAACTTAAATTGATCAACTGTTTCTTCTTTTTACAGACTGATGAAGTAAGAAATGTATCACATTGGCAATTTACCAGCTGGCCCGATTACGGTGTGCCCAGTTCAGCTATGGCCATGATAACATTTTTACAAAAAGTACGCGAGAAACAGGCTCAAATGGTACAATCATTGGGAGATACATGGGCCGGACATCCAAGAGGGCCACCAATTGTGGTGCACTGTAGTGCGGGTATAGGACGAACAGGTATGTTGAAAATATGTATTTTTATATATGTATACAGGGTGAGATAAAAAAAAACTACAACAAAGTCAAACGCCATCATTTTAACATTTTTTTTTTAATTTTATTGAATGAAAGCAAAAAATGTCGGAAATAGCATCAAATTTTAGAATATGTTTAGATTTGTTCAAATTGGTCATCTTTGGCACGAATTATGGCCTTCAAACGGCCTATGAAACCGTCACACGCTGCCCGAATTAATACGACCATCGGTTGTTATGATGACCCACACCATCACCATGGCCGGTACTTGAGTTTTGTTGGCCAGCCGAAGGTCCACAATTTCAGCTGACCTCTTTGGCAAGTAAACACGATCATTTTGATTGTTTACAAACTGCTGGACAACGGAATGGAATATTACGATATGTTCAGTTCACGAGCCATTTTTGGGCCACTGCGACGCGGGTTTCGATCAAGTCGCTTCGTTACTTTTGGATCCATTTCTGCTAATGTTGTTTCTTCCGTCCACTTCCTTGACCTATCAGTATCACTGTAACGAGCGATGGTACGAGACACAAGAGATTTATTCACATTCAAATGCTGGATTGCTCTAACGATAGCCACCTGTGGTTTTCCAGTCAAATATAAAGAAATCACGCTTGAATTCCATCACGAATAACTTTTTTTCTAGAAAATTCTCACCAAAATGCTTTCTTGTACCCCTGTAAACAATATAATGAGCTGTAACTGGAATAATTTTAATAGCTGTCGGAATGACTTAGAAATGAAAGCAGTCTGAAGTTGGTAGCGGTTTTTCATCTCACCCTGTATATTATTACTGTCCAAGTGTGACTGATCGAAATAAAGGTTTTAGACACTAGGTCTCGAAGGGAGTACCTGATTGCACCCAAACTTGGTACAACATTATATTACTATCAAACTTAAATCGAGTTCAGAACCTACCACACAAAAGGTCAAAATTTTTCACAAAAGTAATTCAGTTTTCGAAAACTTTGCAAATCTCAATATTTGTATCAGTACTATGGCTAGTGCGAAAATTGACAATATAGGTCCACTCCATCATGTACTTCCCCCACAAAGGGTCAACATTTTGAATAATTATAACTCTAATAAAATGCGATATAAGCAGCCTATTATTTCTATCAACATAAGATTTGCTGTGAATATTAAACAAAGCGTCAAAATGTTGAACATTTATATCTAAATATTTGTCTTAGCCAGAGATCTAATGTGAATATGAAATTTATCGACCAATTATTTTGGGTATCTCCCCCACAAAGGATTAAACTTTATTTAATATTTATTCGTATAAAAATGGAAATATATGTTCGATGTTCTTTCAATTTTTCACATCCCAGTATTTTTATCAGTATTAGATGAAGTGTGAATACTTCGGTCCACCATATCTGGCACCTCACGCACATTTAAACATTTTCCAAAAATGATCAACTATTTCCGATCCTGGAAAGGTGTAGTATTTATATCGACTTATGTCAGATACGATTGGCCCACTCGTGCAGAACAAATATTTGGCAAAAATCACAATGTATTTTTTTAAGTAATAACCCAACATACCAAAAATACAATACAGCTTGAGAATAATATTATGAAATTAGTTTATCATAAGAATTTTTCAACAATGCTTGAGAAACACTTTTTTGCACAAGCTTTTCTCAAATCTGTCCTTTGTTGACAAATTTGTTTTGATTTTTTTTTGTGAAAATTGTCAACAAAAAATTATTTTCTTTGGTTAAAATCAAAATCACGCGAATTTAGGACCCATTTCCGGACGAAACTCTAAGGTAATGATGAATAATAAATCTGGGAATCTGTAGTATAAATTATTTCAATCTCATTACAGAATGGAGGCGTCAAAAAGTTGCAGGAATTCAACAGAAGTGAAGAATAAGTGGAGGAGATACAGAAGCTCAAATAAGGGGAAAGAAAGCATCTAGGTATCAAGGCAATAGGATGCAGTGACAGCTGGGATGGCAATCAATGAATGAAATGTGTAAAATAATTAAAAAATGAATAAATAAATATTTTTACCAGTGAAAAAATAAGCTTTATAAAATATTACTTTCGTAAGCTTATTCTGCAATTACAAGAATAAGCTTATGAATAAGGGTTCCTTTTCGATTATTCTATAATTGTTAAACAAACATTTCTCAATACATTCTCAAGATTTTCTCAAGCTTTAGGCTTATGTTTGTAAGCTTATTAAAATATTATTCTCAAGTCAATTTGGTATGTTGGGAAGTTAGGGCCTTGTTGCTGTGTCATAGTTTAAAAAACTACCCTTGGAGTTCACTTTCCCAATTGTGTTTTAGCATTTATATGCTATTATTATATATCCTACCTTTCTCACAAGTAATTTGTTTTTCTTTTTTAGGAACATTTATAACTTTGGACATTTGCATATCTCGCCTGGAAGATGTTGGTACGGCTGATATTAGAGGAACGGTGGAAAAAATTCGTGCTCAACGTGCATATTCAATACAAATGCCCGATCAATATGTATTTTGTCATTTAGCCCTAATCGAATATGCGATCTCAAGAGGTATGCTGACGGCTGTCGATTTAACGGGATTCGATGATCGGGACGAGGATTCAGAGTAAATGGAATAGAGCTAAATAAATATTGTTACAACAACCAATAAAAACGAAAACAAAATATTTAATCGATTAAAGCCAACACTACCAAACACCACCAATTCTCCAAACAGACAAAAAACAAATTAATATGTTTTTTCTGACATAAAGAACAGAACAACAAATCAATAACAATTTCTTAAGTAATACTAGTTTTCAATAGCAAAACAAACAAATTTTTGTAACGGAAAACCACAACAAGAAAACATCAAATCTATACTTAGTTTATAATAATTGCAAAAAAGAAATAGTTTGAATGAAAACTCTCTCCTAAACAAAAGAGAAAAATAGTCCATAATCATTAATAATATTTGTGTTTTTTTTTTATTTCTTTGTTATTTATTAACTTAACTTTTTGTATTATGGCAATGTATAAACATTAGCTTTGGCCCGGACACATTCAAGGACACACAACACTGTTTGTTGAACACTCTCTTCTAGCTCCCAACTCGACTCTATAATCTTCCTTGGAGTTAGATTTGTGTGTAGTACATTTCTTTTTGTTTCAGTACTTGGTAGTAATGTCTCGATGGACACCATCAATATACATACAAAAAAACAATAACAACAACAATCTATTAAAACCAATTTTTAATGTAATTTGTGGATAGTAATTTATGTATGGGAAATATTTAATAACAAAACCAGAAAAGTCGTCGCGTAGTTTTTTAGAAATCAGTGATTTGTAGATGATGAAAGAAAAACAAAACAAACAAAAAACGAACAGAAAACACAAAAAAGAAAATCAAATTTATGTTATTTTTTTAATTTTTGTTCTATTATTATAATTATATTATTCTATTTCTAATTATTTAAAATTAAATAAAATACATTTTTAGGTTATCTTATAACAACAAACAAAAATATACGAGAATCAACAAAAATGATGAATATAAATGTTAATTATAACAAAACTAAATTTAACTTAAAAATAATGATAACCTTTATATATATACATTAAAATAAAAACAATTAAAACTAAATATAAATTTAATTATACATATATAAATATATATTTAATATAATTCATAGTTAAATGAAATAAAAAAGGAAACATTTTAATTTAATATATAAATAAACAACAACAACAAAAATACAAAACTGTAAATCTCCAGAAAAAAACTAAACGATGTGTTTGTTTTTATTTTATTGTTTTGGTTTTTCTCTTTTTAAAGTTGGTTATTTCATTAATTAAGAAAATTAACATATATATTTTCTGACCGTCTCCTACAGGTTTGATGTGTGAATGAAATTCACTTTAATTCTTCATTCAAATGGAAAATGTCAATTTCCATTTAACTTTTTTTCAAACAAAATATCAAAAATAGTGTTGAATTCCTAGTTTCAAATCAAATTGATAATTTTGAATGCATATAACACATTGACAGCAAGAAAAACTAATGTCTGAATTCGCTTCCGTCACACAACTTAATAAATTGGCCATGGATTTTATTTAATAAATAGCTAATTGATGTTTTGATATTTTCGATAAATTTCATTGCTAAGACGCAAAGTAGACTTAATCAGTCATTCTCAGCGCATATTTGCTCTTCCATTTCAAACCATCCGTGTAAGTGCCAAAACTATCTGAAATTGGTCGCCCTGTCACCTACCGCCACTTTCTAAAATGATATTCACCCTTATTCTATTTGTCAACGACGACACAAGTCGACGACGTCTTCAAAGCGTCAACATTACCATTTGTGAGGTTTTGTCTTATTCTATAAGAAAATGTGACTTGTATTGACTCTGATTTTGTCGTTAGAGTTTTTGAAGTCGACTTGTATTTGTGTTTTTAATAAAATAAAAAAGGAAATCCCGAAATAATAACAATTCCAAATCAATTTAATAAATTAATTGAAAAGCTGGAAAAATATACCCTTTTGCAAGGGGATTTCGAAGAGCTACCGTTCCAAATGATTTCAAGGTGCCATGGGAGAGTGTTTTCAAAATGTTCTTGAGCCACCAAAAAGATCTTGTGATGGATGACAAAAGGTAAAGTAAATTATATTTTACTAAAGTAAGTTGTCTGACCATTATAAATGGTTGATAAGAAAAAAATCTGTTTTCTCAAAAAAGAAAAAAAAAATAGTTTGGATTCTGTATTTTCAACCTCTGTAATTTCAAACTTATCTATTGTGGACAAACGACTGGCTGTGATAGTCCCAAATTCAAATCATTTCTGACACCCAATTGGTACGATCCTTGGTTTAAAAAACGCAACATTTCTGAATGGAATGAACTCTGCCTCCAACCGTCTGCCTCCAACCATTGTCGACTTTTTGTTGGCCATTGTGCGCTGGAAATGAATCGAGGAACCTCATTTTCAGCTGACCTTTTTGTGCAAGTAAACACGATCATTTTGTTTGTTTACGAACAGCTGCACAACGACGAATGTTTTCTCATCGGAGAAAACCTAATTCAGCAGTTCACCCATAGACAAATGAAAATATAGACAACGAAATGCTCTCACCGTTTATCTTCGAAAAAAATCGGATCACCAGATGTCGTCCATATCGTTTCAGGGGTTTGAAGTCACTCAATTCAAAAATGTTAAAAATAACAAAAACTGTAGGACATTTGTCAGCTGAAAATTATTTCATAATATAAGAAATGTGAAAAGCACGTGATGACATCGAAAAATATGGGAATATTCCAGTGAAATTCTTGAAAAACGAAAAAATGTGTTTTCGAAGTCGAGTGGCTTGAACGCGTAAATCAGCATGTTGACTATGCAAAACATGATGAGAGCCATCTGGAAAAAAAGACAAAACTAACTTTTCGTTGTCTATATCTTCATTTGTCTATGGTTCACCACTTTCGGCCAAGCGAAGCAACTCTTTAGCTCTTTTGAGTCTATTTTCTTTCTGTTGCGGTGTAAGCAGCGAACGAAAATAAACTATTGGAAACGTATGCAATCGTTTTGTTCTGTATTTTCTGGAAGTACGAAACGAAACAAAATCGATATTAAGATAACGGGACTTGTTACTTATTTTGTACTGTTTGTGTAGATGAGTGGAAACAAAAACCAAATTGAAATGTACTCTGCTGGATGACTCAACATTGGAAACGAAACAGCACAATACTCATTGCAAACGTTTGCAAACGTTTCCCTGTATATTAACTCAATACAAATAATGTACAAACTAATTAAAAGTTAAAATTATTTCTTTTTATTTGGCCATCATACAATGTAACAAAGTGCAAAAAAACAATATTGAGAATAACAACTCCTAATGTACCAATCATAATTTCGCACAGCAAACGTTTGCCGGCGATTCGTTCGCAAACGATATAGCTCGGCAACTCACAGTACGTTAAGGCAATCGTACAATCGAAGTACGTTAAGGTAATCGTTTTGTTTGTGTTCTTCTGGCATTGAAATGATTGAGGTACAAAACGATTAAAAAATTTTTAAAAGTTTGTGTCTTTGTGAGAGTGGTACGTTAATCGTTTCGTTTGTTTTCGTACGCTGGGTGTAAGTTTTTGCACTTTTTGGAATATCAATGACTTTACCCCGAGCTCATTTTTCAATATTTGACGAATGGAATATTGCGATATGTTCAGCTCGTTTCAAACCATTTCTGCTGATGTTGCTGTTTTCTTCCGTCCACTTCCTTGACATCGGGCTACGCTACCAGTATCACGGTAACGAGCGATGATACGGGACACAAAAGATTTATTCGCATTTAAATGCTGGAGTGCTCTAACGATAGCCACTTGTGGTTTTCCAGCCAAATATAAAGAAGTCATACTATTACGCTTGAATTCCATCACGAATAATCTTTTTTCTGGAAAATTCTCACCAAACGGCTTTTGTACGCTTGTAAATGACAGCAGTCTGAAGTTGGTTGTAGTTTTTTCAAATAGTCGGTAAACTTTTGAACTGTCAAAATATTCTACAAAATTATTTGTCGTAAAATCCTACTATGGGTTCCAAATACATAAAAGTCTAAATCCCGCCTTAACCCCAGGAAATTATAAGTACTTAAACACATCTTAGGCTTAAGCCATACTTGATGTGAATTTATGCAAAATTCTTCTACAAAAATAATTTTAGAAAGATTTCGCCAGTGTTATAAAGAAGTTTTAACCATATTTTGAAAAAAGACCAGAAAGGCCCCTTGGATGCGTCCAAAACAATCCTAATATTGTTAACATTAATATATATCTATATACCTAAAATACAAGTATTCCAAGGAAACTCAATCCTTGCCCCATTTATATAGGTTACGTTGCGATACAACATTTACAAAAAGCCGATACACGTGTCTTCGATTTTTAGCTCTACTTTCCTAATCTTCTGAATGCTTCTTGTAATTATTGAAAAAAAAATAGTTGAGGCATTGTTTAATCAAACGAAAGAGTCGTTCTATAATGCAATGTATACATTAACGTCCGCTATCACAAAACAATGTTATATCAGAATAAAGACCTGTTTCTATATGACGATAAGAATGTAAATATGAAAGGAAAATTTAATTGAAATCTAAAATTTTCCTAAAACACATTTGAAATGGCGTTTTAAGTTCGCAATCGTCATACAGATACAGGTCCTTAATCTAAACTTGCTTAAGTCTTGTTCTGAAATCAAAGAAACCATTAAGTTTATTTCTGTTTAGAGTGGATTATTCAATACCTTAAGCTAAGGAATTATATTGAAATTTCCTATTTCCCAAAATTATGCATCTATCTGAATTAATATTAAAACAATCAATCAATCTGTTTTCCAATCTAAACCAAAAATAATATACACATATGTCTTTCAATATTTATGTTTAGAAATTCCCCATCATTTGTTTATAATAGCGAACAAACAGTACGAAAAATCAAAGAGAAACTCTGTGGTAATATGTACTTTTTTATAAAAGAATATCGCAATATATTAAACAAAAAAAATAAAACCGCATTATATCTACAATAAATAAACGTCTAGAATGAAAACGAAATAAACAAAAGATAAACAATATTTTGAAAAAAAAAATAAAATTTAATAGAAACAGACAAAAAATCCAAATCTCAAAATACTTATGGGAAAATACAACTATTTTTGTAACGCTTGAAGTATAGAAAATATGAATCTGTAGAAAATTAAATAATAGACAAAGACCGATTTAAACAAACAACAAAAATGCATTTAACAATGGATTTAACATACACCCATAAACACGTTTCTTGAGAAGAAGAAGAATGAAAGTATTAATAATTAGAATCCACTCTTGACGGTAGATTTGTACATCAGAATCGTCTTCAACATGTTGTAAACTTTAAATACTTGAAATGGGAAGATGCTTTGTATAGGTTCCGTTTCAAAAGCTGAACCTAAGACTGTGATCTCATTTTCATCGCATCGGCCCCTTGGGAAAAATTTCAGCTCAATAATCAATTTGAAAGTATTTTATTAAAACTTCCTATTGGTATTGTTACAATTTATATAAAATTTATATCTTCCAACTAATTATTAATCGTTTTCATTCTTGTGTTCACATTACCACAATTGTTTGCCGAAATAAATAAGAATGCAAAAAAAAGGAAATAATCTCTATATTCAAATCAGTAAAATCTTAAACAAACGAATAAAAAACATGAATTCAATTACTAGACAGATATAATAAAAAATAGATTTTTATTAACAGAGTACAACACTCAAAGTGAATCTATGCTGATCATCCATACTATTACCTAACATAGAAAATTTATATAGAAAAAGGCTGATTTTTCGGTAGACTTCGAAATTAATTATATTTTTTTCGAAAGTACATTTTGCTGCATTTTTTGAAGAGAGTGGGGATATAGCCACACTTTTCGCTCCCTAGTTAGACTTGAATCCGAATTATGTTATGTCTGACCGAACAAGACAATCTTTTACACATACGACCTAATTTTTTTGACTTGGCCTTTAGGAGGTCTTCCATCAATAGAAATAACACTTGTTGCAAACTAAATATATATTCATTAGAATTTCAGTTATTATTTAAAATACCATTTTACGCCCCATTAAAATCTTTATTATTTCTCTAATATCTGCCTTATTAATTGGAAGTCTACCAAAAATGAGATGTCCTTTTTCATTAGGAGACAACACATATTTGCCGTTGAAATAAACTAAACAACAATATAAACGTTTTTATATACGAAATTGTTATTGAGAAAACAAATATTCCTTTCCAATGCAGTCAATACTTTTTGAGAATCCATGAACGTAAATACATACATAGAAGCAAAAAAACCTGTCCATTAACTCCAGCCCAACGTTAAATAATTTTTTTATGAAAAATAGTAAAAATATATAAGTATGTAAAACGCAAATTAAAAATGGAACATAAACAAGGTTTATAACAAATATTGTAAATTATAACAAAACCAAACAAAAAAAGAAATGCAAATAATTTTTCCTAACATAAAAATAACAAAATAAGAACATTACTCCAACAAAAAAAAGAACCTAAATATTGAAAATAAATATGCGAAAAAAAAATACTATAAATGTGTTTTAATTGTAGTCCAATCAAAGGTTAATGCAATATGACAACGTAATTTTTCTACAGAGTTAACTCCCTTTCCTCCCTGCGTCCTACCGAGTCCAAAAAAAGCCGTCAAAGGTTAATGCAATATGACAACGTAATTTTTCTATAGAGTTAACTCCCTTTCCTCCCTGCGTCCTACCGAGCCCAAAAAACCCATCAAAAGTTAATGCAATATGACAACGTAATTTTTCTACAGAGTTAACTCCCTTTCCTCCCTGCGTCCTATCGAGTAGAAAAAGCCATCTCCTTAGTTTTTGGTGTTTCTTGAAGAATATCATTTTTATTAATTTTTAAAAAATTAGCTTACAAATAATTAAGAATAATTTTCTGAAACAATGAATGAATAGCATAACGAAATGCATCAAATCGTTCGTGATGATTTATGTGAGTAAAACTTATCACCAAGAAAATGATGCATTTTCTTTGAAGTTTTTAATAAAATTAAAAGGGACTTGTAGGAATGGGGAAATAAATGTAAACTATAACTGCATTTTCTTCGTGTACGTGTGGGTGTGGTAAAACTTTCCTAATTTTTGTTTTGAACCAGCAAGGGTAACCAAACTAAGTTGAAGTGAAAACATAAAATAAGGTGTTTGTTAAGACTACTAACTCTTTTTTCAAATAATAACAAAAGTCTACGATTATCTTTTAACGTCCCAAAAAGTTCCTTGACCAGTTCTTAACAATCGGCTTTGATTTGGCTTGATCCATACGTTCGCGTTCTTGCATTTGTTCCATAAGTTTTTGTTGATTTTCACGGAATTTCATAATAGGATCATCAAATTGACGATAGTAGTGCAAAACATCACGGACATCTTCAACATCCGTTGTAGCAATCGCTGTGAAAAAAATTGTTAAGTTATAAGTATTTTATGTAAAATGGCAAATATTAAATTTACTTACTTTTCAAGAAACTTATCAAATCGAATAGTTGCGAATCATCATCATTTCCCATCCATCTGGCAATGTTAAATGTATTGTCTGGATGCATTTTTGTGGAATTGGGATCCCAGTCGACAACAATAACCTAAAATAGAAACAAAAGGTTAGTGTCAACATTTGATATTTAAAGTCGGATTAAATTTAAATTATATCTCGGGGTTCAATTGAATCTGAATGTATAGATTACCGATAGATTATACAATTAGACCACTAAAGATAGGACGCATCAACGTAGGAAAAATGTGAAACAAGAATATTTTTGAAAGCTTGTTTTAGGGGAAGTTGAGGCGCGAAGGAACCTATTTTGAGGAACCTATTTTGCACTCTATCAGGATAAATATTTAAGCTAATTGTTTACACTGGAACATAGTGTGCTCTGGACGTATAAAAGTTCATGCAGCTTGAAGGTACTTTTCCCGTACGGCGACATCGCACAACGCTAGAAATTAGACCCGACGAACTAGATAATTAGATAAACATACTTAATAGATGCTTTGACAGTTCACATAGATCACTACTTTCATAAAAACCTGATTAATGTTGGCATAGCTTCCGATACCTTAACCCTTAACATTTTGTGAACATTGAATAGTCTTAAAAGGTTGTTTACACTAATCACGCAGTCTTCTGGAGCTAATCGCATTATAACGGATTTGAATATAACTCTTTAATTGCTCTGTCAAACCTACCCCACTCACGCCAGAGGATATCTGGTTACAGCCCGTAAAAGTATCCGAATTTTTGAACCTGAAATGTGATGCTGCTGAAGTTTTGACAATAGCCCCTATGTACTCTTAATTTCTGGGTTATTGAAGTTGATTCTCTTCATAAATCATCAAAAATTTTCCAATTATGCCCAGTCATTGCAGTTCTATTCAATAGTCTCTTACCTTTCTCAAATCACGATTCAAATTATCCAAATTCTTAACGTGATGGCCATCAATGAAATGTGTAGCGTCACGAACCAAACGATACATAATATAACCATTGGGATCCAATGCATCTAATATGGGGAATACAGTCATACCCTGTTCGGCAGTGAAAACAACAATTTCAAAATGTTTAGCACATTCCTGTAGGAAGACGTCGACGCCAGGACGTTTCTTAAATCTCCAGCCAGTTTGATATGTCCAATCGGGATGTACCAACACGTCCTTCATTTCTAAGACCAATGTGTAGGGTGGCTGTATATAAGGTGGCTTCAATGGATCGGGTAATAATTTTTCTCTTGAAGGCTCCTGAATCATTTTCTGATAATAATGCATTGATTTCCACATACGCTTCAGGTATTGCTCCACAGCTGGAAGTTTGATGAATTCATCTTCGATGACATTACCATCAGCATCTACTTCAGGTTTGCCAAATTCATAAATTGACCAAACTAGTAATGCACCACCTGCGCCAGCGAATACGGCAAAACTGTAATGCAAATGAGGGGAGTTATTACGCAAGCCAAACAACTCCGAAATCCTAACCAAAAGAGCATGCTTACCCAACTTTCATGCGTTTGAATGCCTTTTCATTTTCCTTGGCCTCTTCTTCTTCCTTACGTTTACGTTCCTTTTCGGTTTCCTCATCGACATTGGCAGCAGTCTGTGGAAATAGTTTTGACAAAATTTCTGGACTCGCTGGTTTTTCTATGGATGGTAAGAAGATTTTAGATCATCTGCTTTCGCAATTTCGAAATAAATATACATACTTGGAGCATCTGTGGTATTTCTTCGATTACATGCTAATATTGGCGCCGCATGGTTACGTACAAGAATCGGTTTGGCTGGAACAACCCCTAAGCTAAGGGCACGTCTCTGTAGTTGTGTTCCAAACAAGTTGTGAGCATACGCTGGCCTTGCTGCACTGTTCAATGAACATTTTAACAACCTTCCTAGGACACTTTGGGCCATGACACCATCAAGTTTATGGAATTTTCAAGGAAAATTCTTCAATTTCGTACAAAGCAGTGTTAAAACCCGGTGACTGTGGTGGTTAGAATTTCGGCTACCATATGTTTTTGACAAATGCTGCCAAATGCATAAACTCAACATTGTAGAATAAATCGCCAGACAACGTAACGTAGGTCACGCAGACAAAATTGCCAATGAAAATGTTTTCTTTTTTTAATATTGTGTATCTTGATGGCAGTTTTGTTTCCTTTATGGCGAAAAAATGTTTTGTTGCTGATTGCCGGCAAAGTTTAGCAGCGATTCCGTCGGTTTACTCTTCACAGTTTTCTTGTAAGGGAAAATAAAACTACCTATCACTCTCAGAAAGAAGTTACTGGAGATTTTTTTGTGGGAAAAGTAATTAGTCAGACTTGTAGTCATTTTTTATGGCGGGCATGTTCTCTCATTGTCACCATACGCTCGAGAAATTAAATATATATTTGAGCATAGAATTTTGGTATTCGCCCTCAAACACCTTTCACCTCACCTTCATTATCTAAAACGCATAATTTCATAAAATTTTCTGTGTGCCACGCTGACACAAAGAAAATCTATTTTTTATACAACATATGTCACTTGTCTAAATGTAAATCTGTACATTTTTGCAATTTTTCCTTGCTACATACACTATTACTCTGTTCCAGAACATGCAAAAATCTACTATTTTTGCAATTTTTTCGATATCGTAGTAGTTGCAGTCCTGGAGCAGAACATATATGTTTTTGTGTGCATCATATTTATTGTATGAAAATTGCATAGTCCAAAGCGGACATTTGTTTCCTCAATATTTTCATAGCACTGAGCTTTTTGTGAACCAAAGACCAATAACAATAATTATATCTACCAAAAATGCAACTCTGCACATACTTTGTGCGTGTGTGCATGAAAAAAATTCTGAATTACCAGGACTTTGTTTACAAAAAATTGTGAATTATATTTGTTCAAAAAATGACCGCCGAAACAGCTAAAGATCAAAAAGATCAAAGCTTAGCCGTTGCAATGTGTCGAGCTTGTCTTACGGATAGCAATGAATACAAGCCATTGCACAGGGAAGGTATTATTTTTGGTGAATTAACCACATTGGGTACTTTGCTAAGTTTTTGTTCTGGGTTGGAACTTAACGAGGAAGACTTACTGCCTGATAATCTGTGTTCCCAATGTGTCAAGGATTTGGCGATTTCCTACCTATTCAAGAAGAAAGTCTTGAAATCGAATGATGTATTGCGGTCCCAATTACTCGACGTTGAGGAGGATACCGACGAGGTATGCAAAGCACCTAACAAAGTAACTGATAAGCAGCAAAAGCGGGAAACCACTAAAAATAAGAATGAAGCCAATGATAAACAAAAAGACGAAGAGGCGACTAGAAATTGTGAATCTGAGACAGATCTTAAAGAATTGGCCGAAGCTGCACAAATGAAAAGAGAATTGGAAGCCCAGCTTTATGAGACAGCAGAAGAGGACTATACAGAAATTCGCAATGATGTGGACAGTGAACAAATTGAACATGAGCATATGGATGAAGATGATGATTTATATGTTGTGCAAGAGGTAGCTGAAACAACAGAAATTTATCATACAACCGAAATAGAAGAAGGCCACGAGAACGACCAACATCAGGAGCATACCGAAGAACACACTATTGTTGATATTGAAGAGGAAACCCATGTACAACAAGTAGACGAGGACGAAGAGGAAGTTGCCTTCGAAATTCATATGACCAGTAATTTAGATGAAGAATATCATGAAATAATTACATCTGATCCTGTGTCAACTATAAGTCAAGATGATTCGAAAAATAGTTATGGCGTTAAAAGAAACTATGAACGAAAGCTGGTACATAATTATGAATCATCGGACAGTGGACAACCCTCAACGACTGTGAAAAGAGTACGAAACAGGAACAAGTCAACCAATAAAACGCCAAATCCAGATTTTCGATGCAAGGTAGGAATTATAGAAATATATAAAATATCGTGAGATTTCAATTTTTTACAGTCAATTTAAAGAAAGATATTTAAGGTATTTAACAGAAACGTGGTAAGAGTATATATGGTAGAGTATAGTAAACATAGCGATAATTTTCTAAACAAACCAAAGATATTTTTTGTTTTAATTTATTTAATAAACTCGCGGTAATTGATACCCTCCCGTTTTTATCATTTCCAGATTTGCGGCAAGCAGCTGAGCAACTCCAGTTCATTTAAATATCACATGCAATTACATTCAGATGAAACACCATTTAGCTGTGAAATATGTGGAGAACGTTTCAAAACCCGAAACGCCTATGATGGTCATAGAGCAACGCATGATCCCAAAAATACGTGTGAACTATGCGGGAAAGTATACCGTCAACCTTCATCGCTACGACTACATATGTTATCGCATACGGGTGAAAAACCATTTAAGTGTGATATTTGTGGGAAATGTCTGACACAAAAATCCGGCTATAAGAAACATATGCTCACGCACACAGGAGAAAAACCTTATCCATGCGATATTTGTGGCAAATCATTCCGAATTTCAAGTAATATGTTAGTACATCGTCGTAGTCATTTGGGTGAAAAAACTTTTGGCTGCCCTAAATGTGCCAAACTGTTTGGTACAATGGAACAATTGAAGAGACATATGTTGGTACATACCGAAGACACACCGTTTCCGTGCGATATCTGTGGCAAGCAATATAAACGACAGTCAACTTTAAAGGTCCACATGTCCACGTGTGGAGAAAATGTCTAATATCTAAAATTACATTCTAAGTTAGAAAGCATGTTATTGTTATAAATGTACATTTAATAAATTAGAAGTATATTTTTTTAAGTGTTAATATGTTCGTTGTTTTGTAACTAAAACATCGTGTTTAATACAAATAATGATACTGGTTCCATTCGATTTGTATAATTGGGATTTGATATACTTTCGTGGTATTTTATTGTGAAATATATTTCTTCGACCCTTTTGAACGTATATTTCTTAAATTCAATTGGATCAAAGTCATTGAAAACATTTCTTCATCTATACATTTATTTGCCTATGCTGCCACTAATCGAAATGAATTTCAATACGTGAATTTTAGCTTGGTTAAATGGAATATTTTGATAAAAACGACAAGATATCCTGTGTGAGATTAAGATTTTAGCTGTTTATATTAAAATTTCCAATGTTACCAATATAAACTGGACAAACATGTAATTTTCGTTCGTTTTTTCGATATCAAATGTGAAATAGTCTTTCCGGACCCTCATTGTAATAATTAAAATCGTACTTAAAACTATTTTTTCTATTAAAAAATGTTTTTTTTTTATTATATTTACACAATCGTAACAAAGAATTAGCAATAAATTACTATAAAATCAAAAAAATATTACAAGAAAATGAAAAAAACTACATAAATGTTAGGCAAGCTAAATTACATGTGAGAGAATATAGATAATGACTGTGGTATGGCAGTTTATCGGTGTTGAGGGGTAAGTCTATTTGCCACAGGTATTGCAGCCTCCGGTTGAATCGCTGTAGTATTTGGCAACAGGTTGAGTACGGGTTTGGCGGCAGGACACTAAAGCATCGCCGGAATAACCGTGGGGACATTTACAAACTGCTAAATGTGATTTAGGTTCACAGACGGCACCGGAACCGCATTTGCCAATGCAGGGGTTGACACATTGGTAGTTGATACAGGCCTTGTTGTCGGGACATTCGTTATTGCTCAAACATTCACCCTGAGGGAGATAGGAGTAATAATTTTTTGACTCTTGTAAGCAGAAGAATGTAAAACAACTTACTCTTGAACAATGTGACAAAGGATTTCCGGTATAACCTGGCAAGCAATTGCACACGGGACGTTCACGTCCAGTATTATCATGACCAGGTACACATATGGCATTTGTGCCACAAGGATTGGGTTCACAGAGATCAGCTAAATTGTAAAAAAATATTAGAACAATAAAAACATTTCCAGATATCTACCTTTTTGTTAATACTCACCCTTTGTAAATGGACGACAACGAACAAATGGATCACCAGTCATATCACGTGGACAACTGCAGACCGGTGTCAATCCTCTTAAATTACAATCGGCACCAATACCACATGCACCATCACAAGTGTTCTTACAAATGCCATAGAAACAAGCTGGTTTATTGGCTGGACAATCGGAATCACCATAACATTCAGGACGACATTCAGTATACGGACTACCAATATAACCCTTGGGACATTCACACACAGCACGATGACCACTCACCGAACCGCAAGTAGCACCCACACCACACTGGGTACATGCAGGAACACATTTAAAGTTGCTGCACATATCGCGCGAACTACAATCACCATCGTGATCACATTCATGGCGACATCCACTCAGGGGATTTCCAATGTAGCCGTTCAGGCAGGAACAGGTTGGTACACCATTGACAATTTCACATTTTGTATTTTGACCACATGGACTGGGATGGCATTGCTCCTCTGGAAATTGTGAGAAAATAATAAAAATAAATATATAAGTAATCCACAAATTTAAAATCTAGTTTGTAATAAAAGATGAAATGTTTATTTTAAATCTATTTAAAGTTTACTAGTTTCTTACTAAGTTTCTACTTCGCCGAATTAGATGCCTTCTAAGTCTAAGTCCTACTTATATTAAAACACATTTCAGGGTTAAAGCCGTATCTTATGGGAGTTTATGAAAAATTCTCCTACAAAACATCGTCAATATGACGTCAAAAAATATTCTTCATTAAATTTCACTATAAGGCACCAAAGAAAATAGATCTCCATTACCATCATATATCAAGAAAATATTTGTCAATGTTGCCAAAAATTGAGAAAATATTTCCTATTTTTTAAATCAATTTTTCCTTGGATTTTTTTTAACTGATCCATGAACGTAATATGTCGAAAAAATGTCATTTGATGAAGAAAAAGTCAAAGGTCAGAGAGTTTTAGTGTAAATCTTAGAATAAATTATACATTTATGTTTTAAAGTTTTGAAGAAAATTACATTCGAAATTTATATATTAAATGTGAAAATCCATTCTAAGACAAAATCTTCCATAGAACTCTTCCAAAACACCTTTTAGATATTTTCCAAATCGATTTTGCTAATAATTTTGCATTACGATATCTTTAAAGATAGACAAACCTCCAACAGAAGGTATTGTATATAAGTACATATTTCGGAAAAACGAAACGATTCCAAGGATCCTTTATACGAAAATTTTAAAAATTGTGAAATATGGGTGACTTGCCCTTCTATTTACGGTATTGTTTCAAATTTGGTATTTGAAGTTCGTAATAGATACTACAGCCTATGACTGAAAATTGTCTCTGCAGGTCCACGTCTTCGTATAGACCCCATCATATAACGATACCTCCCAATATTCGGTATTTTTATGATTTTAGCGTCATTACTTACCCGAATTGTTTTAAATTACGTATTTAGAGTTCGTAATTGGAACTACAGTCTGTGACAGAAAATTGTCTATGCAGGTCCAGGTCTTCGTATAGGCCCCATATATCTGTACCCCTCTATATTCGGTATTTTGACGATTTTAGGTACAATACCCGCCGAAATTGTTTGAGATGTCGTATTTGAAGTTCGTAATGGATGTTACAGCCTGTGACAGAAAATTGTCTATGCTGGTCCAGGTCTTCGCACAGCTCCGATAAAACGGTACCTCCCTATATACGATATTTTGATGATTTTAGCTACATTATGCACCGTTTATTTCAAGTTTCGAATTTGAATATGGTAATGGCTTATGACAAAAATGCCTCTGTGTGTCCACGTCGTATAGACCCCAATATAACGGCTATATTCGGGATTTTTAAAATGTTAACAGATTTTTTTAAGGATTTTATTTTTTGTGTTGCACCGTGTTATCATTATCAACCCTAATAAAAATGTATGTACAAACTTACGTTTAGATTCGTTAAGAAGATAACTGTAGTGTTCACACACGTGAGCTATTTTATTTTATTCAAATTCAAATGATACTAGACTCGAACTTCAATTGATGGTATACAGGTGTCGGCTTTTTGAAAAGTTTAAAGTCCATAATATGAATTGAATGGACAATGGATATCCGACTTTTAGATTTTTTCTCTGGAGTATTCTCTATGTTACCCTCTATTATTGAGAACAGTTTTTCAAAACGGAACTGATAGTTTTGCAATATTTTTAAATTTGCAACACTGTGTAATGTATTAAAATCTGTTCCATTGAACATAGATAATAATGTCAATCAACATGTAATAATACATTTATTAGTCTTACTTTCACAACACCCACATTCAAAGATAATTTACTATTAATTCATTGAACGTACCGGAACTTTGTAAGTTATTGCTGGTTTTTAAATTAGATATTTTACGTAACAATTAATGTTAATTTTGTTATTGTTTACAATTTGTATTTTTGTTTCTATGTAGGTTGAAATTCTAAATGTAGGTTGTCGATTCATCTAAGAGACAAAGAACTTTTCTATTGTATTGTGAATTAACTTTTGTTATGCATTTTTAAACTTTAAGTCAATGCAAGAAGGCGCCAAAATATTTCCGCAGTCCCACAATAGAATATTAGAAGGAGTAGGGCTATAAAAAATACTTGTTTTGGACCAAAATATGACAAAAAATAGCAAAAGATGTTGTTATTATAAAATTTTTAACTTCCAATACAGACTGCTTATTTAAAGAGGATACTACCTTACAGTATTTCTTCTTGTATTATTCCGTCAAATAATTAAAATCTTCCGTGAAAAAATAACTCACACTCAACAACTTTGAGGAAGTTCTAATCACACTGGAAGTGTGATGTTATTAAATAAATATTGATTTGTTTATATTTCTATTGGTTAAAAAAATCTCAACAGCCAATAAAAAAATAACTTTGAGCATCCAACACTCGACAGACCAAAAATAAGTATAACCACTTCTCTATAATTGACCTTGATCTTGAACGTTGCGATGAATTAATACAATTCATACATACATTCATCCATTCAGATATATTTACGATATAACCATATTCGGCTGTCATTGTTCTGAAAAAAATGTATATTTTATTGCATCAGTGTTCTTCACATCTGATGGGATCTTGTTTTGGCCATAACAACAACCCACATAAGAAACATTTCAACCTAGCTGTTGCAATTTCATAATATTTCACAAGAATCGATATAAAACAACAACAACCACACCACATTGAACAAGTAACACATTTAAGGAAATGCAATTAAGGCAAAGATTTGTGTATTAACATTGTATACGAACGTAATTGGTGGCCATTCGTCTTCGTTTTGATTTCTAGTTCACCTTCATGTATGCAACATGTAACCTTTTATTGTTGTTATTGTTTTTTTAATTTAATTCCAATTTTTATTTAACAATTTTGAAGTTTATTGCAAATGCAAAATGATATTTCAAACTAAAGACTTAAGGCACATGTGTTAAATTCGCTCTCTCTCTCTCTCTCTCTCTCTCTTTCATTTTAACCCAGATTCTTTGAGAAGGGCAGCTAAAATGTGTGTTATTCTTGTGCAGTTTTTTTCATATATTTATCCAGGTTTTGTTATTTCAAAGGAATTACCCAAGATTCTTCCATGAACGATTTTTTTGTAATATATAATAAATGTAAATCTATTTATATATAAAATAGTAATGAAATAACTGACTGACTGAGAATAAACACCCAGACGAAAAGGATGAAGCAAGAATCTTGAAATTTTGCACGAGTATTAGTCTTGGTGCGTAAACGTGTGATAAGGCTGGGTTTTTTTAAATTCATACTAAAAAGGTACGAAAAGTACTTAAATTTGAAAAAAATAATACTTTGTATTAGACAAACAGAATGAGCTACAATTCTGAAATGTCGAATTAGAATCACTGAAACGTATGAAGCTGAAATTTTAAAATTTAGTTTTGATGTGGTTGGTTTGTGATAAAGAGGTGGTTTTAGAAATGTGTACTACAATTGCATGAAAAGTACAAACTAGTACCATATTTTGGTACAATTTGGTATTGGGTGAACATATTGTGCTTGAAATCAGAAATTTGGTATTAGGGTCGCTGTTCATGTGTCGCCTGGACATATGAAGGTGGAAATATGTTCTATAATTGTACGAAACGCACTGAATTGTCCTAAATTTGGTATTGGATGAAAGGATAGGATTGGGGTATCTGACACGATATGGAGATGCTTTTGGAAATGTATACTATAATTGTATGAAAAGTAGTAGTTTGCATGAAGAGATAGAGCTGAAATCCAGAAATTCGGCATGTGGGATTTACATATGGAGAGGTTGAAATAGTTTTTGACGGATATTAGATGTAGGTCCAATGTGCAATGGTTCTCCTATTGTCCCCTCGATAAACATGAAAATAAAAGATTTTGAAGACTTTTTAGTGTAAAAGGTAAAAACTTTCCTATTATTTTTTCGAAAAAGAAAAACTTGTATAACATAAAAAATCTTAAAAGTCTGATAATTTAGTTTCATGTATTATTAAAAAAATTTTGTCAAAATAAACAAATTTTGCATTTTGAGTATTAAAAACGGCTAATATGAACTCTTGGAAGGAATTTAAAATTTAAAGGCCGACTTTTCGTTGGCGAATTAGCGGGCTCCTATTGGTGATGGTATAAAAAATGTATAAAACGAAAGACTTAAGACACATGCGTTTTTCTACTACAACCTTATTATTATTGAATGTATATATATTCCTATTAAAAATATATTGTACAAAATGAACTTACCAGGATCAGATTGGCGACAGGAAACAAATGGATCACCATTAAAACCAGGTGGGCAACTGCATACGGCAACGTGATTTCTGGGCTAAAAATATAAGAACGAAGATGAAAATTTATCGTAAGTTGCATAGAATAGAAAACAAATTTAGAATGCTTAAAGCCTTCATATATAAACATGGTTATAACAAACTAAAACATAGAAGCGAATTTTTATTTTCTAACCGCATTTATTGAATTCTTCCCATCACTTACCTCACAATTGGCATTTGAACCACAGGCACCAACACAAGGATTAACACATCGCCCATTTTGACACTGTAAATCACTGCGACAATCGATGTTATCCAAACATTCACCGCGGTTGCAGTGAGTCAAGGGGTTACCACTGTAGCCGGGTGGGCAGGAACAGACAGGACGGCCGCCTGCTGTCTCCTGGCATACGGCATTAACGCCACAGGGATTACCGTGGCAACCATTAACGCGTAAATCAGCTATTGGGAGAAATACAAAAGTGGAAACGAGGGAGGGGGGGAAATGTGCAAAAGGGAAAATAGTGTCATGTTATTATTCAATATCGGTTAAAACACAATCTAATTGAATTGAAGTTCAATAATTTTAGAATAGTTTAGAACATTACTAATAAAATGGTGGATAGTGGAGAAAGGCTTGGAGAATATTATGGGAAGCCTACAGCTATGATTATTTACACACACAGACATAGATACAAAACATGGAGATTTGGATGTCCTTTTTTTAAGTGCACAAGTGAATACAGTCAGTATTTACATAATCTTGAATCAGAGATTAGAAAGAGGAAAATCATTGGAAAAGTGCTTAATAAAAGTGCAATCACACAAAGAGTAATTTTGAAAGTGTCCCAGAAAAATCGTATTGAATTGTTCTTAAATACCACGTGAATGTGTATGATAGATTGGATCCCGGTAAACTAATCTCTCCACTGTCGTTCCATCGGCATATGTATAATACGTACGTCCATCGTATGAGCATGTACTGCATGTTGCACGCTTGGTCAACTTTTTATCTTCTACAGCTGTAGAATTGCTAGTTTGTAGCTGTTTATCCTCAGCATGGATGCAGGCTAGGATGGCAAATAACAGCACCGCTGCGAACGTCCTTGACATCTGGAAAATAAATCAGAAAGGGAATGTTATTTTGCAATCAGTGCAAAAAACTACAGATCTTCTATTGGAAGATCTACAGATCTTTTATTGGAAGATCTACAGATCTTTTATTGGAAGATCTACAGATCTTCTATGGGAAGATCTACAGATCTTCTATGGGAAGATCTACAGAGCTCTTATCCTACTCCTCCTACTCCTATCTTTAATGGAAAGATCTACACATCTTCTAGGAAAAGATCTACAGATTTTCTATGAGAAGCTCCGCAGATCTTCTATGAAAATATCTACAGAACTTCTATGAGAATAACTACCGATCTTATAATAGTGGTATGTATTATTGTGGGATAAATATATGAGTGAAACATATAGATCAGTGATATTAATATGTAAAATTAATAACTAAAGAAAATTAAAATTAATAACTAATAAATTCGATAGTTATTCTTTCGAAAAATGTAAAGATGTCCTAGGAGAAGATCTCTAAAGCATCTATATGATCTCTGGATCATCTATGAGAAAGTTTGCAGATCAATCTTTAATTTATTCCGCAAGCATATCTACAGAAATTCTATGAGAAGATCTACAGAACTTCTATAAAAAAAGCCACAGGTTTTCTAAGAGAAGATCCTCAGGTCTTCTATGAGATGACCTACAAATCTTCTATGAAATTAACTAGAAATCCTCTCCGGATAGAAGGTTGGCAAAAATGCTCAATATTCACAGCAGATTTTCTTTTAGACCTACAGAAGCATGGGAAGAAACATAGATTTTATATACAAATCTTTTCTAACACGATTAGCAAATCTTTTATAAGAAGATTATCTAAACAAACCAAAATCATGTTTTAGATTAAGATCTTTATGTTAAATACATTTTTCAAACCATATTTAATACTTCTAGAAAAAGAACTCACACTTTTAATAGGGTTAACACCCTTCTTATATACATAAAACATATTCTATACAAAATTAACAATCACTAAAAAAATTAATAAATTATTCATGAAAATCTAAAAAAAAAATCTTTTGTAATTAATCTACAAGAATATTAGCTGAAATCCTAACGAACGATGGTCACTGCCATCAATATTAATATTATAAATGTTTCGATATTATTCATTCACGCCCACTCGTTGACATTTTGTTCAATATTTAACTAATGCTTCTAATGAATTCACACCTTATTTCAACCGGAACAAAGTAAAATCCCGTAGTAATAATATTGTGCAGTATAATGACGGCGATCTTGATTTTGACTTCATTTCCATATTTATTTTGTTCGCATTTGAGCCGATTAAGTCATTCATTTACTTGGTTGGTTTGTTTGTCATTATTTCGGATATTTTCAAACATTTGTTTTTTTTTTATGTGGGAATTTAAAAGAATTCGTAATAAGTGACTCATTTTTGGCAGTTTTGATAACCAGTTTTAAAGGAATCCATTTGAAAATCGTATCATTGTGATGACAAAAATTTTAATGTTTCCTAGAAGCAAATTTGAATTATACATTTCAACGAATTTTAATTAAAAAAAATAAAGCTTTCATTTTCTAGAATAGAGAACGAATATATACTATAATAAAATACATATACGAATCATTTAGTTCTGAAATTTAGGACGTATTTTTTGAATAATGAAAGAAAATAATAAGTATTTATAAAAAGCAGCAAGCTTTAAAATAATCAAAATTGTAAATAATCAAAACTTCTATAAAGTGTGAAATATGTAACCGTTAATACCAAACGTGGGATATATTCACACTTCCCTCGGGTGCCACTTTCAAAAAGGTCAACATAAAGTGTCATCTATACATATACAGAGTGAGATGAAAAAACTGCAACCAACTTCAGACTGCTGTCAATTCCAAGCCACTCGTCCGACAGCTGTTAAAATTATTCCAGAAAAAAAAGTTATTCATGATGGACACTTCAGCATTTAAATGTGAATAAATCTTTTGTGTCTCGTACCATCGCTCGTTACCGTGATACTGGTAGCGTAGCCCGTGTCTCAGTGGCCGAAAAATGGCTCGTGAGCAAAACATATCGCAATACTCCACTCGGTAAATATTAAAAAATGAGCTCGGGGTAAAGCCATTAAAATTCCAAAAAGTGCAAGAATTTATACCCCAACAGAAAGAAAATAGACTAAAAAGAGCTAAAGAGTTGCTTCGCTTGGCCGTAAGAGGTAAACTGCCGAATTTGGTTTTCTCCGATGAGAAAACAAAGTGAACGTGTTTACTTGCCAGGTCAGCTGAAAATGTGCATCTTCGGTTGGCCACCAGAACTCAAGCGCCGGCCATGGTGATGGTGTGGGCCGCCATAACAGCCGATGGTCACTCTCCGCTCGTATTTATCGACTGTGGCATCAGAATAAATGCTGAATAATATCGCGAAAATATTCTGGACCTTGGACATTCCAACAGGACACCATCGCACTCGGCACTCGCCACCCAAGAATGGTTACAAAATGAGGTTCTTCGCTTCAATTCCAGCGCACAATGACCACCAAAATCTCCACATATTAATCCTTTGGACTATTGTGTCTGGACTATTATGGAAAGCAAGGTTGGCACTAAAAAATACCAAAGTGTCGATCACTTCATGCAAGCGCTTTGCCGGGAATGGGCCAAAATACCACAGAGCAACATTCGGGCAGCGTGTGACGGTTTGATTAGCCGTTTGAAGGTCATGATTCGTGCCAAAGGTGACCAATTCGAACAAATCTAAACTTATTCTAAAATTTGATGCTATTTTTGACATTTTTTGCTTTCATTCAATAAAATTTAAAAAAAATGTAAGAAATATGGCGTTTGACTTTGTTACAGTTTTTTTATCTCACCCTGTATTTTGACAATATGTTGTTGACAAATGAATAATTTAAAAACAAAAATGTAAACTTATGATTGCATGACTTTACCTTCTTGATTCAACCATGAGACTTAAATTGAAATTTGGTCTAGAATATTTCTTAATTTGAAACTCTATCTAAAACGAAGTTGTATTTTACTTTCATGCATCAACTCACAAAAGATCGAGGAAATGTTTTGGGTGTATGATGGAAATAGAGATTTATTTTCCTTGATGACTTATAGTAAAATTTGATGAAAAATGATTTTGTCTATGACGCCATCCTTCTAATGATTGTCGCATGGTGTTATCAACACTATTTAATAAGAGTCGTTTGTATATCATTATCATTGCGAAAGGATTCTTAGTTTTAAAAACTGAATATTCTTGATGAAATAAAATATAAAAAATGTCATGCAACTCTCCAAAATATTCATTCTCTAAAGATGCTTCCTGCACAATTTCAACAACGTCATTGTTGCACTATTGAGTTTATATTTCCGGCATTGCTGATGATTCGTTAGTTTTCAACGTTTTACAAGTTTTCTAAATGTAAAATATATTTTTGTCATATTCATTGAAGATGTTAAACTTTGATGTTGACACACAGCTGGCAATAACATTTGAAATTACTCATTATCCAAACAAAATGAAGTTTGTATTTGTAGAATTTTAGAACTTCGAACTGAATAGTTTCACTTTTGTGTGTTTTTCGTTTTCATTTCATTAAAATATCAGCGTACTGTTCTTAATTCATATTCCGCTCACGAACTCCTCGCGTATTAAATGACAAATACAATGTCCATTTCAAATAAACAACGTAATTTTTATATAAACACTTTAGTTTATAGGCCAATTATGCGTTACGTTCAGACACTGGCTCCCTGCTTTACATTTACACTGAATCACCAGAACCGACCACACTTACCATTTCGTGTAATTTTCTTTTGTTTTTTTTTTTTTTTTTTAAATAAAAAACTGCCCGCGACGGCGATGTAAATGTATCGATATCGCCGTTTAGCGAATATTGAACACTGATCTGTTCTCAAGTTAAGCACCGGCTTTTATAAGCATTGAGTAGTGTTTGGCAGTCGTCCGTTTTTGTTGTTGTTGATAAACTATGAGCGCTTGTGACGTATGTATATGGCCAGGCATACAGGCAGACATCAACCAACAAAACTCTAAATACACCAACAATTTAACGCAGTGAAGGCGTCTCGAAAGCCTTATTGAGGTATTTTCTTAAGTAAAAAAGTTGATTGTTTTCAAATATTATAAAGGGAAGAGTAAATGTTAACAACATCCAACAAATGATAAAAAAAAAACAATTTGAATATATTTTTTGTTTTAATAATGTTTTTTTTTTTTATTTGATAAATTTGCTGGCTTTTGCTGTCACGTCGAACCACACACAGTACATCAGCAGCAAGAGTAGAACTTCCCGTAGACGGGCGCCCAACTGCCATCGCATCACCATCAGCAACAACAACGTTAACAATCAAGCAATTTACTTATCTACCAACCAGTATGGCTATATCATCGTTGAATTTGGGTGAATTAATTTGTATGCGTGGGTTTTGAATATATTCTCCGATTTTTTTTATTTTATTTTTTTGCCAAAACATTCATTCACCCAACATCGTTTCTAATTCGTTTACTTTCTTAGAAGAGTGTTATTTTTTAAGAATAATTAGGAAATGCTTGTTAGGTGTTGTATTTGAAGCCATATTAACATTGTCAATTAATTAAATTGTTCAGAAGGAAATCATAAATATGTAAATTTGTATGAATTTTTCAATATCAAATATATATGTAGATTTCGTAGCTTGAAGAAGTTTAGCTGCATGCTACACTTTTCTACAGGTTTCTCTTTAAATAATAACCATTTCAGAAATTTCAGATAATTTTACATAGTTCATTTTTGGTTTCTTTTTTTTTTCACGATTGAAAAAAAATCATCATAAATGATTTGAATCTTAATGATCACTATCTATCTATCTTTCTCTATATTTTCATCTGACTATAATCGTACAAATTAAAGGCATACTATATCTGGAGCATATGACTCATCCTGACGTCATCAGAATTGTATATTGAATCACAAAAATTCGTAATTTTACAATGTTCATTCTAGTTTTATTTTATATTCAAAATACGCACCTCCACAAGTATTACAAACAAGTAAAAACATTAAGTTCGGCCGGGCCGAACTTTTAATACCCTCCATCACTTGGAACGAATTTGGAAAACTTCAAAAAATAAAATCCGTTAAAAATTCTGTTAAAATCTTGAAATTACACAACATATATTGGGTTCTATACGAACATGTGAACCTTTTGTCATAAGTCATTACAATATTCAAATTCGAATCTTGAAAAAAATCAGGTGAAAAATGTAGCAAAAATCATCAAAATACCGAATATAGGGAGGTACCGTTATATCGAAGTTATACGAAGACCTGAACCTGCATAGACAGTTTTCTGTCACAGGCTGTAGTACCTATTAGGAACTTCGAATACGAAATTTCAAACAATTTCGTGAATATTGTACCTAAAATCGTCAAAATACCGAACATAGGAAGTTACTTATATATGGGGCCTATACGAAGACCTGGACCTGCATAGACAATTTCTGTTGTATGTGGGCGATACGATATTGTGGACCTATATAGACATTTCTCTCCAAAGGTTACCCCCTGCTTAGAGAAAACTTCTAGAATGGATTTTTAGAAAATTACATTGAAAAATGTAGCTAAAATCATCAAAATATAATATTTTTATACCCTCCACCATACATAGTGTGGAGGGTATATTAAGTTCGCAATTTCGTTTGTAACCCATCGAAATAATAATTTTAGACCCAACAAAGTATATATATTCTTGATCAGCGTAAAATTGCAAGATTTAGCCCTGTTCGTCCGTCCGTCTGTTGTAATCACAATACAGTCAAAACGAATTAAGATAAGAAGCTTAAATTTTGCACAGGTCTGTTTTTTGTCTGCAGGCAGGTCAAATTCGAAGATGGGCTTTATCGGTCCATGATATCGTATAGCCCCCATATAACGATATGATGATGATTTTAGCCACATTTTTCAATGGAATTGTCTGAAATTCTACACAAAGAGTTCTTTGGGAAATTCTACACAAGTAGTTTCTTGTGACTACTTTACCCCCTGGTAGAGAATTATTATTCGGCCAGGACTTCGTATAGCTCTCATACAACGGTACGTAAAAAGTATCAGTTTAAAAAGATATCGTCAAAGGCAAAATTATTCTTCAGCAAGGCAATGATGCAAAAAAAGAACGCTAAAAATATTTCCAAAATTATGTGTTTACTTTCTGGCCGCTAATTTAACAAGGTTTGCAGATTAAAGCTCCAAAAAAGTTTAGAGTTCTCAGGCCAAACTTGTTTCAGGTCTTTATATGTATATAAATAACTTGTTTCAGGCCTTTATATGTATAATAACTTTTTGTTGTTGTCTCTACATTGGGGTAAACAACGATTACAAGTGTTTTTTTCGTTTCAGTCATATTTCCCATTAAATTTCCATAAAGTTTAGTATTTTGAGTTCTTAAAATGAAGGAACACTATAAATTTCGAAATATCCTTCATAAAACGGTACACCCCAAGTTCACGTTTACAACAAATTTGGCGTGTGACAAATTCTGAGTGTTTTTGTTAATATTACGTCAGAAAAGCAAAACTACAAGGGTTTTGAATATAAGTTTATATTGCAGCCCTGCTTGTTATACTCAAAAAAATATGACTAAAATCAGGTGGAATATTTAAATAGGGGGTATACCAAAACATAGTCCTGTTTCTTAATTTTAAGAACTTAAAATACAATAATATATAGAAATTAAATGAGAAATATGACTGTATTGACCGAATATCCTAAATGGTTATATGCGAAGGGAATATGTCTGGCAACAAACCGACTAATTATTTTTAACTTGTTTTTTTTACTTAAGTCAGTTATGAAGAAGGTAAATATCGGGCCACTTCTTCTGGTATCTCTCAAACGAAGGGTCAAATACGAAATTATACCTTGATTTGATCCAAAATTTATACATCCCAATATTTCTACGCAGTTGCAGTTGGAATGGCTAAGCAGTTGGAATGGCTAAAAATAGACTACAATGAGCTTAGTCCGATTCCATGGCATAGGTTATATAACACAGTAAGAATTTGTTTCGGATATATTTGGATCATTTCATACATGCTGCAATAACGAGGTTAAGCAGCTTCATAAAACTACTGAAATACAACTCTGAGGCTGTGTTCGCTCGCCGAATTATTCAAAATTATATGCAACAAGTTTTCTTCCTCATTTTTTAAATGTGTTAAAAAGGGCGAAAAGCGTTGAACATGATCGAAACTTTTCAATATTTCAAATATAAGGCAAAAATGGTTTATATTTCGTGAGCGCAACCCGTCAAAATTGTAATTACCAGATCGCTTTATCTTACCTTTTTATTGTATGATTTAATATTTTTGTCTTAAATATTTTTTTTTTAGACTAGTTTACTTTCGGTTATCACCAATTTACATAAGATTAATACATTTACATCTGACTTAATTCTAAACTCTATACATGGACATATTTAATATCCGAAATGATATTAACCAATACCAATAAGGCCAGAATCAGTAGTCTATTTTTGCCTATAATATCTATCATTTCGGAAACTACTGGGACATAAGTTAAATTGGCAGTTTGTATTAAAAAAAAACTTCAACGTCACATTTTTACACATTTCTTTGTTGATGAGTCTGATGTTAAATGTTGATATTTTATTATGAAGTTGACATAACCATAATAACCATTCTATCTAATTCAAAAGATGAAATAACGAGTTAAAATGTATCAGTCGGTTTTGCCGACAAATGTATACCCTCAGCCAATGTTCGATTATTTAAATATATTTTGACTACTGTTATGATTATTCAAATGTGTGACCCTCCATGGAGTAGGCTCCACATGGAATTTTAATGCAATATGGATGAGTGTATATGTATATGCAGTTCTGAGGTGTAATAAAAACTGTGAGGTGTTATCACTAAGTATTATAGATTGCAAAGTCTTAACATCAATTAACATTATTTGATCTTAATGTTGCATCATAGGCTTTATCTAAGTTCTTTTTGTTTCTGCCATTTATTAGTGTCAACTATTAACAAAGAAATTATAAACATTAATAAATAGATGGTATTAATCTCCTTTTATCTCACCAGAAGCGACAATGTCAATCATGTGTACATATTTTCTTATTATGGATCAAAGCCAAAGACATTTGATAACACCAAAATATGAGTGGGATTTAAATGTGAGAAACACGTTTTGCCTTTAAAAGTAATCTAAGAGAAATGGTTGGTTGTGTGAAAGAGTACATGCGGTTAGATTCATTCGTTTAATATTCTACAATGACCAAAGCAAGACAAAAATTCTCCTTAACATATTACCGCTTGCGCACGGATCTAGTTAAAGCGTAGTCTATACCAAACATGTTTTATTTAGATTGTCAATTCCATTGATTACACGTCAAGTGTCAGCGTACATTTGCTTTAAACTCGTTGGTTTCGGTATTATAATTCACAATGGCAAAAATGTCAAACATGTTCACATACCGGTCGATTTATTTTCAAAGAAAAGGTTTAATTTGAAAGTTAGAAACCTAAATTATACTATTAATAAAAGGTATATATCACCTGTTTAAAATAGGCATGTAAGACTTCAGCTCAATTTTAAATGGTGCACAGAGTTTAGCAACATTTTCATTCAAATGAGCTTTAATTTGGAATTTTCGATTGCAGGCAGAATGATTTCAGAGTAGTCACCCACTACTATAACACCCTAAATTGTGAGTTAAAATCCCCATAACGTCTATTGTTTTGATCATAGTAAAATTCAATGACGACTAAAGAATATCTGTCTGTTCGCCAATCGGTTAAAATCACTATAGATCGGTGGATACGGGAGGTACTGTTTTAGGTGCCTATATCAAAATATGTACCCATGTTGAAATTTTTTACCCAAAGTAGCCATTTTAAACCAAATCGTTTTGGAAATGTGATCAAGACTCTAGA